AATGAGCTGACAGCCTTTAGCACAGTGGTCCAGGCTTAGCAGGCACTCAAGACTTAGACTACAAGCACTTTTGGTGAAGACCTTTCCTAGTACTCATAGCCTTACCCAAAGGTAGGCCACTAGCCTAGGTGACCTTCCTTTAAACTCTCACAACTTTTTCTCTCCACTACTGAATTATTTCCTCGATGAACTGAAATTGTCTTAGAGCAAGACCCCATTTCTCCAGCTTTGTACCCTTTTGCCAAGTTAAACTGACCATGCACTTAATACCTGCGAAACAAAATAGTTCATTATTATCAGCGTTGGCATCAAGTCTTCTCCCTCCTACCTCATTGATTCTTAAAAAGATCATGCCCCAGGTTAGAAGGGAGCAAAGGCCACCAAGCCCTACTCCTGCAAATCTCACATCCTCATTACAAAGCCGCTGGCATTTCCCCAGTCTCTGCTTCAGCACAGCCAATGACAGGAAGCTCACTGTCTTCTAAGACATTCCATTTTCTGGCAGCTGAAATTCTTGAAAGTTCCTCCTCAAGCTGGGTCAATATCTGTCACGACCGTGAAAAGGGCAAAGACAAGGACAGAGCTCTTTTTACCTTACTAGAAAATTCTGTCTGGGCTGACTCCCAATCTGCTTCCCCACAGTTCCTAAGTATAAACCTGTACCATACTGTCACCAGTAGAGCCAGATGGGCTGTGCAGCTCAGGGGTTAAAGACACAGCTTGGGAGACAGACACAGAATCTGGTTCCACCCTTGCTCACTGTTTAACAATCTGCAAACTATAGTTTCTACAACGAATGGAGATAAATTGGCATCTTACCTGCCAGGTCATGAGGAATGACCTATAAACTCTGTTAGTTAAAGATCTTACTTCAAAGTGTCAGAGACACGTCAGAACTAGAGGAGCAAAAGGGAGAATTCTGTGGCTTTTGTGTTAGCTGGAAGGCAAGGAAAATAAAACTTAGAGGCCTGAACACCATCAGTATCGTCACTTCATGTCCTTCACTCTTTTGCACAGGTTCTCTGGAACTATGGCCACTGACATTACCAAAAAGGATCTCTTCCCTTAGCACTGATCTAAAAATATCCAGAGGCAGACCTGTGCTCATTCCTGCAGTCTAGAATGAGTTATCCTTGCTGGCTACCCTAGAACCTAAGGCTAGGTGGAGAAAGAATAGAACCATTTGCCAAAAGGAGGATACATTTTTCAGAAGATGGTAGATTCATGGGCAGACAAAATAACTGATGTTCTCTGTGTAAGTGCTCATTAAATTGTGTCTGTAATATTATATTAATAATATCAAGTCATGGTTTCTAGTTTATATTTCAAAGTAGATATACTGTAAAAATAATTTGAGAGACCAATAAGAGCTTTTAACCTTTTATTTTGCTATCTAAAAAAAGTTTTTTAAATCCATAGCTACCATCACTACATTTAACAAGAGAACAAATATCCTACACCAAAGAAGTTAGGACATAATCTCAGAATAAAAGACAGTCCTATAAGTCAAATAAGTTTAGTTTTATGAAAGCCAGCTGCATTCTTCTTAATTTTCCCATTTTGATCAAGGGCTGATAAAAACTCTATCCAGATCTGATGCCAGGCCCTGGCTAGAATTTGGGAACCACTGATCCAGGTCACAATCTTCTACCTTATCAACAGGCAGCGAGTTCACTCCAGGCCTTGGTGTGATCCAGGCATGCTACAATTCCAGGATTTTCCCCACCTAGCACAGACCCTAGCACCTGGGAGATACTCACATGCTCACCAAACCAAGCCATCCGTCCTGCAGCTATCAAGAAAAGACATACTCTCTTAACAGCGATGTGCAGGAATATAAGCAAGTAAGCACACATTTTAAAATTTGTACATGATTTTCAAAAGGTACTGGAGTGATTTCACACATGTATATACAATCATTAAAAGAATGAGATTCACATAATGACGGGAAGATGAAGAGAAAGCCTATGCAGAAGCTAACTACTTCGACAGAGTACTATATGTCAATTCCATAGAAATCTCTCTCTTGAAATGTCTGGGATAAAATAACACAGTGTTCCTCTTTGTTCTCCTAAACCTGAGAGTTGATCTCTCTCTGTGTGCATGACTAAGGCACCAGATTAAGCAGGTGGTGTAGGGGTTCTTCTCATTCAGTCATTCATTCAATAAACATCTCTGTGTCCATTGCATTCTAGGCACTATGCTTGACATCAGGACCATAAAGTTGAATTAGGTTCAATTGTCATCTCAAGGAGCTTCATGAACCAGGAAAGCTGAAATTACTAACATAAACCACAAAATTACTAGTTATTTTCTTTGCTTAATGAAAGAAGAAGATCATTTTAAATGTAACCTTGTTAAGTTTCAACAGAGCACATGGTGACTACACACAAATAAACAATTGATCTTGTGCTCTAATTTTCATATTCTTATTGAATTAAAAGTTCAAACTTCAGGCAACTGAAGTAGGATATCCTTGGATCTTAGGCATTATGCCAAAACATGGCATGCAATATTATGTCTCTGAACAATTGATTCTGTGTGCCTGTAAAAAGCAACAGGTGGTTTGCCTATGTTTTCTACTGATTTCTAATGTCAAGGAAGGCCAGAACTATACTAGTCAATGCCTGTTAGTAAAAACCCTATCCTAGCCTAGGTCTTTAGATCACCAATACTTTATTTTTCACTTGTCTTCCAGATTTCATAGTAGTGTAGTATTCCGCAGGCCAAGAAGAATTAACAGAGGTTCTAGTTGGAGGTGGAGTCGTGATATAAAGGTAAAGAAGGAAACAGAGACCCCAAAGGAGTGGCCAGAGAGAATAGTGAGAAGAGTGTGGAAAGGTCAGAATGAGAGACAAAGAATAGAAGGGGTGAAGGGGGGCAGATGACACAGCAGTTCAGGACTGTTCACGTGTTCTGTAAGAGTAGGGCAGGTGCAACAGAGCACCGGTGACAGAGCCGTCATGTAGGCACGTACAGATTTTGGCTGTGACTGGGAGTCAATGCAAGAAAAATTAACAAGTCAGAGAATTCCTTAATGAGTAAAACAATTCAGACTGAGTTGCTATTTCTGGGACAAGTAAACCACTTATAGTCAGGAATTGGGTTTGAAATCTCCCCAGAAAACTTCTGACTTTTCAGAAGAAAGGTCAGTATGTAGTAATTTCACAAATAACCCTAAATGAGAAAAATGTATCAATATTTAGTAACACTTTTAATAAGCATATCTTAAACCTAAAAAGCTAATTTAAAAAAATCAAGTATTAGCATTTGTAGCAAAGACCACGTTGTTTATTACTGTCAAATAACAGTATCGGTAGGAGGGAATCAGAGCCTAAGAACCAAGCCAGTTCAAAGTAAAGGAAGCCAAAGTTCAACAGCTCACAGGCATTCATTCAAGATGAGTACTGTTTCCCTCTGCTGCCTTTAAATGCCTGGAGTGACTAAGACTCAAACAGAGCACACAGGGAGCAAGGGTTATTAGTAATTCTATTGTTCACTCTGAGGAAAAGTACAGAGGATTAACTAGTACATACTGAGTGAAAAACATTAACAAAATCAAAGGAAAATACTCACAACTAATTCCCATAATAAAGTTTAAAAGAACTTTTAAGAGTTAGCATCTACCATATGGATCCAAATATTGATGTTTTTAATGTTTGTTCCTACTTACTATTTGAAATTTTAAAGTTTCCAAATTTGGTCAGTTACAACCCACAAAGTTCTAATTACTTTATTAGATCTGGGTTTAAGTAAAGTCTCTGAGATGTTTAAATGTTGACAGTTACCACACAAGCTGGTATTATACAATATTTCAGGTTTAAAACAGGCTTACTAACTATCTGGCTATATCCCCTCCTCAGATTATATTAAAGTGACATTTCCTAATTCTTACACAATGTGAAATACTAGTCAAATAATACTTTGTATGTTCTAAAACTAAAGTCTTATCTACCACCAATCCCTACCTCTGTATTGCAAGTCTTTCTTCTAAGGTAAATTTTGTTCTAAAGCAGTAATTCTCAATCAGGAGAAGCTTTGTCCCCTGGAGGTACCAAAAACCCAAATCCAAACCAAAAGATCTGATAATGCCCGTGGCAAATAGATGGCAGGGGATAGGGGTACTACTGGCATCTCATGGCTACAGGCCCCCTGCCCCCAAAACAAAGAATTATCCTGCCCCAAATGTCAATAGCGCCTCTGTTGGAAAACTCTATTCTAAACTGAAACAACAAATTTGCAAATACAGCTGACAACTTCAAATATAACTGCCAAGTAATTCAAAGCAGTAAGCTTTGTTATTGGTACATAATCAAAAGTCGCTTTTCACACTATCAATGCACTAAAATGATTTGACTATTAATTATCAATAAATTACATTGCAGGACTGACAGGAAGGGTGAAGAGCACTTTACTACTCAAGGAATTAAAGTTTACTTCCATTCAGAAAGAACATTTCCAGAGATAAAAGAGAAAACGAGGTGGTGATATTCTTTTTTTCTTTTATTTTTTTGAGACAGAGTCTCACAACGTCACCCTTGGTACAGTGCTGTGGCATCACAACTCACAGCAACCTCAAACTCTTGGGCTTAAGCGATTCTCTTGCCTCAGCCTTCCAAGCAGCTGGGTCTACAGGCACCCGCCACAATGCCCGCCTATTTTTTGTTTGCAGTTGTCATTGGTGTTTAGCAGGCCCGGGGAAGGGCTCGAGCCCACCAGCTTTGGTGTATGTGGCTGGCGCCCTAATCACTGAGCTACAAACGTAGAGCCAGGTGGTGATATTCTTAAGTTTTCTTTGATGGTTTAAACTTTCAAGGATAAACACCAATTAATCATTTTTTTGTTGCTGTTGTAGTTCTGTAACCATTTTTCCCCCACAATCATTAGATTTTTAACTGGAGGAAATTTAAGAAGATAAAGTTAATCACAAGATCCTAGCCGCTAGAATAATCTTGGACAAATTATATCACTACAGTATCTTTTAGGAGGCTAATGCTTACCTGGCAAAAGAACTGGCTCCAGTTTTTTAATCTTCGGTTCCGAACTGATTTTATCATCTGTCTGAAACACATTAATAAAATAAATCAAAACTCACCCCCAAATAAGATACCATGACAAGTTTTCTAGGTGATGACATATGCGACAGACATAGTCCCCATTTGAATGACTGGGGGTCACCACAACATGAGGAACTGTATTAAAGGGTCGCAGTATTAGAAAGGTTGAATACCATTGCTCTAGCAAGTGCCTACAAGCGCTGCAATCACGCTGGTGGTCACTGATCTACGAACAAAATAAACCCAGTTCCAAACACTGCCTTGGTCTCAGCACACGGCAAAACTAGGGGACGACAGGACTCGGGTAGAGAATGGCTGCTGCAGAGTTTCACAAGTTTCCACCGGGCCAGTGGGGGCTCCCGACGCCGGGAAACCAGCTCCCACCCGGCGGGGGGCGCAGCGGGCCGCGGCCCCCGGGAGTCCTCCAGTTCCCGGTGCCGGCCTGGCGGCTCCCCGGAAGCGCCAGAGAGGGGATCCCGCAGGCACCGGGGTGTTTACCTGAGGCGGCGGCAGGAGGTAGGACCTGAAGGTGGGTCTGGGCGGCTTGAGGGAGAACATGGTCTCACTGCCTTCGGCCCCCAACCCGTCGCCGGCCAGCAGCAGCGCTGCCGCCTCCCGACTCCTCTGGACTTAGAGCTGCCCGGGTAGCCGCCCAGACCCCGTGTGCCGCCGGCCGGGCCGGGCGGACTGGCGGGCGGGGACACCGCGGAGCCCCCGCCCGAGCGGGGAGGAGCCGGGCAGAGCCGGGCCGGAGCGGGCGCTGGGACCCATCCCCGGAAGGGCCGGCGCCCCGCCCCGAGATGGCGCTCGAGGCCCGCGGCCCGCTCCCCGCCAGTAGCCCGCGCTGGCACCGGAACGCGAGCTGCGCCGAGCGCCCGCCGCCCGGTCTCAGCGAGGGGCCTGGGGCACTCGGCGCCGGGCGGCCATCTTGCGAGGACGGCCTGGGACGGCGCTGCTACGGCGGCCCGCAGGGGTCACGGCGCCCGCGGGGCCTACGGCGGCTCGCAGGGGCCACGGTGGCCAAAGGACGCTGCTGTGACCTAGACGCAGGGTAACATGTGTGCAGAGTGCCCCGCGACTGCCCCTGCACTCGCACGTACACAGGGTCAGTCGTCCGGCCTGGTCAAGCATTATTTTGAAGTCCTCCGGAAGGAACCTGGGGCGGGAGGGAAGGTGACTGAGATCCTGGAGCGTGGCTGTCACACTGTCTGCGCCCCGAGTATGGGGACTGCTCTGGGAAAGGGGCCGGTGCAGCCAACAGTGACCAGGTCCAAACGTTCAGCGCGTTTCGTACCGCTTGCCATAAACCTCCCTCCAAAGTCGCATACTTGGGGAAGATTTTCTGCCATCATCCGGTCTTACTGTTTTTTCTCAAAAGTATGAGACAGGGATGTCCTTGTACCAGTGGAGCCCACAGCTGGTTTCCAAAAGCTGCTGAAATTTGTGTGTGTTGGGACTGGACAGATGACTTTGACAGGCAACCCAGGCTCCTCAATTTAGAAAAGATTTTAAGTAAGTTGCCTTCCTTTCTTTTCTAGCTCAGCATCATAAGATGCTAATGAATATAAATGATCAAAAGCCCATCAAGAGTAAGGCCCTAGCGGTGGGCAGCTTCAATAGGCTTTGGAACCGAAAATCTGCCTGTTAATTGCAAAGAACAGACGAATTCTAGCATGTCAGGCTCAGTGCATTTCTGAACTCTTTAACTGCATTTTTGGAATTCTGACCTATTTCTGAAACTGGAGCAGCCTTTGGTGGAAGGGGGCTAGTAGTGTTACATTTTGGTAAATCTATTAGTTTAGACTAGGTCCTTCTTAGTCTACTAGGTTTGAAGTATAAAACCCTAATCCAGCCTTTTATGATTAATGTCACAGGGAAGCTTCTGTCTGGCCATACCAATTACACCCATACAACTGTTCCTCATGGGAACATTTAACAAGATTCAGAAAGTTGCACTTTTTATGAAAATAATTTATTCTGAATTTAGAACCTGTTTGAATAACATGTGGTTCCATTTTGCCCAGGAGCCATAATTTTACTTTAACAATATTAATTCTGTTGCCTTTCTTTCTTTCTTTCTTTCTTTCTTTTTGAAACAGAATCTCAGTCGCTCTGGGGTTAAATGCCATGGCGTCATAGCTCACAGCAACCTCAAACTCTTGGGCTTAAGAGATCCTCTTGAGCTGGGACTACAGGTGCCAGCCAGGATGCCCAGCTAATTTTTCTACTTTTAGTAGAGATGGGGTCCTGCTTTGCTCAGATCTCAAACTCCCGAGCTCAGGTGATCCACTAGTGTTGGCTTCCCAGAATGGTGGTATTACAGGCGAGAGCCCTCTAGATGTTAGAAACAGCCATGCACATTTTTATTTCTATGAATATCCTGTCATTCTACATTGAATGAATTTTTTTCTACAAATGCTCTTCAAGTGATAATTGGCTTTTTCTTTATACTTGAATGACTCTGTGGCTTTCTGTACAGGTTTTCTCAGTATCTGCAGCTCTTAATATGTTAACATACAACTAAAAAGTGGAAAAGCTCTGATTTCCAGATTTAATGTGGGCTTAACCCTAAATTTTATGACATTTTTCAGATGCATTCATCTGCTTAGGCTGCCATAACAAAATACCACAGACTGGTGGTTTAACCAAAAGAAACTTATTTCTCACAGTTCTGGGGTCTGGGAAGTCCAAGATAAAGAGGCTGGTGAGGCAGGGTGAGGGCTGTGTGCCTGGTGAGGGCTGTGTGCCTGGCTTGCAGATGGCTGTCTCTCACTGTCCTCACATGGTAGCAGAGGGTGTTCAGTTAGCTTTCTGGTGTCTCTTCTTGTAAGGATGCCAATCCTAATAGATTAGGGACACATTTATGTTAACCTTAATTACCTCCTAACAGCTCTATCTCCAAATATCACACAGGGGTTGGGATTTCCATATAAGCATATCGAATCATAATTGAGTCCATAATGTTGGTCTTACAGCCTCTTCTCAGATCCTGATCTCCTTGACTGCTCTGTATGTTTGGTATAGTTTATCGTTCTTTTCTTTTGGCTCTATTTAAAAAAAGTTTTTGTTTTTGTTTTTTGGTTTTTTTTTTTTTTTGAGAGAGAGTCTCACTCTGTGCCCTGGGTGGAGTGCTGTGGCATCATAGCTCATAGGAACCTTGATCTCTTGGGCTCAGGCGATCCCCTGGCCTCAGCCTCCAAGTAGCTGAGACTACAAGTGCCTACCATAATGCTCAACTAGTTTTATTTTTAGTAGAGATGTCATTTTGTCATTGCTCAGACTGGTCTTGAACTCCTAAGCTCAAGCAATCCTCCCACCTAGCCTCCCAGAGTGCTGGGATTACAGGTGTGGGCCAACATGCCCGGCCCCTTCTTTTGACTCTAATGTCACTATTTTATCCTGCTTCACCTGTTTTTCTGACTACACCTGTTTCTGTTAATGGTTCTTCTATCATTGAGAATGGTGGAATTCCCTACAGATCATCTCCTTTTTCCTATCCAAAAAAGAAAAGAACTAACATTTCTTGAATACTTATTAGATGCTAGGCACTTTATATATTCCTTCAGGCACTCATTCAGTGAGCTGATGAATTTGTAGAAAGAATTAACTCTGTGCCTAGCACTATTCAGGACACTAAGAAGACAACGTTTCTACTTTTCATGACATTTTCATTCTTGGTAGAGAGATGTAAAAAGTCAGCATATTACATACCAGGTGGTAACAAGTGCTACGAAGAAAAATTAAACATGGAAAAAGAATGAGGGTTCTATTTTTCAACAGGGAGGTGAATGTGATCAGAGAAGGCTTTTCTCATTAGATGACATCTGAGTAGAGACCAAAGGAAGTGAAGAAGCAAGCTAGGTGGAAACCAGGAGGAACAGCATTTGCAGCAGAAGGAGGAACAGTACAAATGACGAGATGAGATCTTGTGTGACGTGTTTGAGGCCTGAAGTAGCCTAATGCAGTGGAAGAGGAGGTCGGGGAACTACAGGCCAGCTCACACTGGCCCTAAAAGTGGAGATGCTTTTGTAGTGTTTTGAGCTGAGTGTAATACAACCTGACTTACATTTTAAAATAATCATTTTAACTGTAGTGGTGCAGCATGGTGAAAGTTGGGAGACTAGTGGGGGGATGGGTGGGCATTATAATAGTTGGTATTTGCTAGAATGTCCAGATAGAAGAAGGTGATGGTAGTAGCAGTGGAAGAGGTTAGAAGTGGTATGTGTAATGTTTACAAAGTTATGCCATTGTCTGAGAATAAGGTCTTTTAAGGTGACTGTTAAGTAATTTAAAAACTCTGTTGCTTCAGGGAGAATTCTGGGAAGATGACAGCAGGAGCATAGTGTTTTAGTCCCCACATAAAACAGACAAAGCAACTATACAGCAAAACAAAAAACTCAAGGACAGCATCTACAAAAAATCTAAGTGGGAAGGTATCCCCATGATCTCCAAAATGTAAGCAAGTGGGAATGAACTAATTAGCAGCCATAAGATTACAAGACCTTTGTGGCATCTGCACAGGGAATTGATGACACATCTGGAGAACTCCAAAATAACCAAAAGGCATTTGCTGGAAGGCCCACCCTGTAAGTTGAGAACAGTAGCTGAAATAGGAATGGGTGTCTGCCTTCTCCACAAGCATGATGTATAGGGGACTCATGGCGAAGTCTGGAGGGACTGGAAAAATAGAGCTACAGGTACTTTTGAAACTAACCTGCTAGGTAGGCTTCGTCCAGGAAAGGGACCTGCGCTGAAGATAAACTGCTGGGCATGGAAACCAAATGGAGCAGAACAGAGACAATGGAAACAAAGGAAAGAGAAAGTCTGGATAAAAATGGAAGATGGGGGACTCTCCGAAATAAGCTTTGAAAATTAAAACAACAACAAAACTATGTAGTAACAACAAGGCATTCTCTGTGAAGTTAGAAAAGCTAGGCTGGATGAGGCCGCTCACACCTGTAATCCCAGCATTCTGGGAGGCCAAGGCAGGAAGATGGCTTGAGCTGAGGAATTGGAGACCAGCCCAAGGAAGAGCCAGACCCTGTCTCTACTAAACATAGAAAAATTAGCTAGGTGTGTTGGTACATGTCTGTGGTCCTAGCTACTCGGCAGGCTGAGGCAAGAGGATCACATAAGCCCAGGAGTTTGAGTTTGTGGTGAGCTGTGGTGATGCTACCAGCACTCTATCCAGGGTGACAGGGTGAGACTTTGTCTCAAAAAAACTGCTTTCTTCAAAAAGTTCAAGAAAACCAATTTTACACAAAAATAATCACAGGAAAGTATGGAAGTCAAATCCCATAGAAAATTACTGTAATGAAAGAGAATAAGAATAGAATAGCAATCATATGGGCAATGAAAATGCATTGGGAAGACATGCCCACCAAACAGATAAAAACTCAACATCTGCTATTTTGAAGTGAGCCCAAAAGTACTAAGACAGTGAAAGAACCATATAAATCAGAACCAGAAACATTTGAAATGAACAAATTCAGAGTAGAATTAGAAATGAGAGTCTACAATGAAGACTGAACTTAAAAAAAAAATCCTTAAGGATGAATAAACACAACTATGCTGTAAGAGAAGTAGAATCAGCAAAGGGAGAAAATTTACAAAATCAAAATCAATGAAGAGAGATAAACAGATGAGAGAAAGTGGCAGATGATGAAGATAAG